AGGTGGAGTTGAATCTCATGAAGGTGGTGAAAAGCAGCAAGAAGGACTCCAGGAGATAATTCAGCAGCAGAAGACATGACAGGGAAATTGTGGGCCTGCTGTTGAATGGGTCAGGAGACCTTTTGGCAAAAGCCACAGCAAAGACCAAAGTACTGAATGCCTTCTTTGCCTTTGGCTTTCAGCAGGCACAGACCCCTGAGACCAGTGGTAATCACTTCTCACCAGTGCAGCTTAGGAACATTTAAAGAAAAGAGATGGACACAAGTTCATGGGACCTAGTGGGATAGGCCCAGTAGTGTGGAGGGAGCTGGCCAATGTCACTCTTCATTATCTTTGAAATGACATGTTGATTGGGGGAGTTTTGTGAGGACTGAAAGAAAGCAAATGCCACTTCTATTCTGAAAAATATGGAAGAAATATCTGGAGGACTGGACAATCACACCTCAGTCCCCAAGAAATTGATGGAGAAAATATTCCTGTAAAGCCTTTCCAAGTACATGAAGGACAGTAGTGTGATTTGTAGCAGTCAGCATGGACTTAAGAGAAAATTATGCTTAACCAACTTGATGCTTAACCAACATCTACAACTGGATGATTGGTGTAGATTAAGAGAAAGCAGTGGATGCTGTTTTCCTTTGCTTTAACAAGGCTTTTGATAGTCTCCCAGGCCATCCCCATAGAAAAGCTGGTGGAGTAGCTTCTGGCTAAGTGAAAAGTGAGGTGGATTGACAATACAAAACAGGGCTGATACACCAAATAGCACAGCTGAACAGAGGGACCTCAACAGGCTGGAGAAATGAAACAACACATGAACTTTATGAAGCTCAACAAAAGGAAATGTCAGCCCTATCCCAAGGAAGAAATAAACCAGGCACCAGTATAACATAGGCACCAATTAGCTGAAAAGGAGTTTGACAGAAAATGTCTTAAAGATCCTGGTTTGACAAAGCCAGCAAAGTGCCCTTGTGGCAAAGAAGGGCAATGGTACTGTGCATTAGGCAAAGTGTTGCCTGCGGGTGAAGTCAAGTGGCTGGAACTTCCCCTCTGCTCACCACTGGTCATACACATCTGGAATATGTGGATCCTATGATCTCAAGGGTCTTTTCCAACTTAGTTGATTCTGTGATTCTGTGAAAGCTGTGCCCAGCTCTGGACTCCTGAGTAGAGAAATTGTGATGGACATACTAGAGCACATCCAGGGCAGACTCATGAAGATTATTAAGGAACTGCTACTGTTATAGCAAAGAGTACTGGGGCTACTCAGCCTGGGTAAGAGAAGGCTCAGGGAAATCTCATCCATGTGTGTAAAACTCTGATGGGAGAAGTAAGGAAGGCAGAAGCCAGACACTTCTCAGTGCTGCCCAGCAACAGGACAAGAGGCTAAAGGTACTAACTGAAACAGGAAATACTGAGTAAAAGTAAAAGAGTAAGAGTAAGGGTAAGACTAAGAGTAAGGGTAAGACTAAGAGTAAGGGTAAGACTAAGAGTAAGAGTAAGAATAAGAAAGCATGGGCATGAAGAAACACTGCCACAGGTTGTCCAGGGCAATTGCAGACTCTACATCTTGGACATATTCAGAATCCAACCAAACATGTCCCCAGTCTATCTTCTCTCACTGAACCTGTTGGACTAGACAATCTCCAAAGGTGCCTTCTTCTCTCAACCATTCTGGGAACCACAGTTCTGTAAATTACATTCTTTTTTGAGTCCTATCTGGCAAAATCTTAATAAAGGCTTCTTTGTTCCACTCTAAGATCCTAAATATTGTTTTAACCATTAAATTACATTGATTTAATGGATGAAGAAGATAATACTGGGAATGCAAGAGGAAAGCTCTCTATGTCTGGAAGAAAATAACTCATTTAACAAATTAAGAAACACATATTTATAGGTCAGGATTCATCTGACCTTTACTTGGTGTCTACATCAACTCAGCACAAATCATATCCTTGAATGCCTAATACTCTCCTTCTAGCTATACACCACAAGCTGGCTTTTGATTTTGTCAGAATAAGTGGAAAGTGCTTTACATAATGATATATATTTGCAATTTTTTCCAATTTCATCAGTGTTGTATTTACAGTTCACATATGACATTTCCTCTGTCCTTGCCACTAAAAGAAATCCTACAAGCAATTATTTTCTTACTGACCTGTCCTAGTTGGCTAGAAAATGCCATCTATTATTTTCTCTTCCTCACTCTGTCACTCATTCACACTCCCCTGATTGACTGTAGAGCTTTATTTTTATTCTTTCTAGATTGGCAGTAGAACTTTATTTCTATTCCTGCTACTTGTCATTACTGTGTTATTAAAGTTTTAGGAATAGCAAATTTAAGTTATTGCCCCAAAGTAAATAGATCTACTAAATCTGCTTCATGTCAGGGCTGTGAGCCCGTTTAGAAAACCTAAAATGCAAGGAGTCAACAGACTTGTTTGTCTGGTTGTCAAGTACAGTCCTTAGACTGCACATCATAGAACTGGAGATGGTTGTACCCATCTCCAAAAGGTGTTCAGAAACGGGGTAGCTGCCTGTATTAAAAGAATATATAAAATATTCTGGTTTTTAAAAAAAATATCTATGTTAATGGATGCAAACTTTATTATGTGTTGTTTATTTTGAGATTGGCTTTATCCAGAAATAGAGGGATGTTCCTGACTGATGATTTAAAATATTCACTTTCACTGGGCTGTCAAAGACAATTATGAATTATGCACTGGTGGACTGTTAGTACATAACCTACCTATACAGGGTTGAATTTTTATGCACTCATTTATTAATCAAAAATTCCTTTTATGTATTATGGTTAACCCTATATTACTCCTGTTTGGAAGGAAGGGATGACATGTTGACATAATAGAAGACAGATTAAATTAAAGAGATGTCAAAAGCACTGACATCTATGCAAGATCATAGGCACATTTGAATCTGATAGCCGACCTTTTTTAAAAAGCTGCTCACATTCACATTAAGCTGATCAAAAATATGAAGGAAAACCACTTTTTTTCTTTGTATTAGATACAGACTTTAACCCTAAATTAATTTTGAGAGTAAAATTACTTGTGCTAATCTTCTGATCTTTAGACTCCAAAACCTTGTTCTTTCAAGTAATTATATTAAACCAACTCAGAAATGTTTTTCTCTTGCTAATTTCCAGACAGAGAATTCAATAAAAATAGAATAACTAACTGTAAAAAATTTTATTTGCCTGATTTTATTGAAACTTCAGATGGACTGTTTTAAATGGTCAGACACAAATGGAGGAATTTGGCTTTTTAACCCAACCCTGAAGGACAAAGCCAGTATAGGGTTTTGACACTAGTAGGTTCTTTTCCCCTTTTTCTTATTTTGATTTTTTTTCCCCTAATACGTCTTTTCTCATTCATTGCATTTATTATAATGTTTATATCACAATTAAAGGAAGAGACAAAGTCAATTTTAACACCTCACTAGCCCAGGATTCTCCAGGGAGGAAATACAAGGCTGTTCCCCTCTGAAAGGGTTTAGATTTGCTAAAGAGATTTGTAATGAAAAGGCTGCTCATGATGCAGTGGGAGGCACAACAGGCTGACAATGACAAAGTAGGAAAGATAGAAAAAGAATCAGATACCTCATTATCTTTACAAGTCCTTGTGTTTTAAAATAAACAATTGAGATGTAAAAGATTGAACAAAGAACGATTACTTTATCACTTTAAAGTATCATTTTTGTAGTAAACTTTGAATCTGATCTGATTAGGTTTCTTCCCTCAATTAAGTATGCGTATCCAGGAAATTAGTTTCATACAATCTAAAAAGAGGAGATAAAAGAATCTGTAGTACCTAAACATGCATTCCCTTCTCAGTGTTATCTCTTCCTGTTCATTATCCAGTTTACTCTGATTCTGTTTCTTTTCCTTCTGGTTATTCCTTCCTCTTCTTCAAATTACTTACACTCTTTCACCTTGTGTTTCTCCCACTTTTCCAGTGGACATAAAAAAGTGCCAAAGATCATACTAGATCAAAACTATTTTTGTAAGAACAAATCAGCAAGAAAAGTATGAGATTTATAACTGATTTTAAGCTCAACTCTGTTCCCCTACCTCCAATTAAAAAATAAACTTTATGACTTTGCAATCCAGTCATAATATATGATACCTACCTTCCAGTCTCACCTGTTTTTTTACAAATACCTGAACTAGGTGGCAACATGCTTGGACTGAGACCTTTAAGTCTTTAACAGGGTTTGTATAAGAGTTTTGTCAACTTCCTTGAATTACCTTAAACCCCATTGCTTTAGCTGGGGTTTGCTTTCAATTTTCCCATGAATTCAATCAGACAGTCAGAACAAAACTCAAAGAGCTGGAACCAAAGTTAAAAATAATCCATTTTAATTCCACTGATCTAGTCAAAACTACCACACAGTCGCCTTTGGAGTATAAGCCTGCTTTGTTATGACAAGAGGAGGTGGTATTAAGAGTAATTTAAAGTTATCAAAGACACATTTTTAAGCTTTGAAGTATTACTTTACACCTAGGGGAAGGAGGGAGGGAGGGCAAGGAAGAATGAAAATCACTGTTAGCTCAGAAGCCAAAGGTAAAATGCAAATTTTAGTTGGAGTTAGCTCTGTGGTATTATTTGCTTCACCTTCTCTTTTGTCTCCAAAGACAAGGTAGTTTTAGACATTTTTAAAAAGAAACCCACTGTGGATGACCAACAAAACAGTATAAGAGTGACATGTTTGCTGTAAGCACAGTTGTTACTAAGGCCACTCATACCCAGATATTTGCTGATTGTGTAGCTTCAGCAAGAATCAGAAGAAGGTAGTGTTTAAATACATACATGTTTTAAGAGAAAAATTGGTGGTTGATTTTGGCTGGTTATTCTGTTTGTTCTCAAGTGAGGAAGGTGAAGATTATGGTGAAAAAGACAAGAACTGGAACTAATTTTTGCTTTTAAACAGAGTGAAAAATAACCTTTTTTTTTTTTTTTTTTTTTTTTTTTTTATTATTCATGAGAAAGAGACCTGTCAGATTCAACAGGAATAGCCACAACCTGTCTACTTAAACAAGGGGTCTGCTTTGCTGACTGCTCCCTTGTCCTCTGAGATCCACACAGACTTCATCTGAAAAGATTCACTTCGTCTGCCTGTGAAGGACAAGGGGACCTTCTGACATCTGCCAGCATCAGCAGCAAAGACAGATGACCATGTTTGGCAAATCCAGGAAAGGCATGGGATTTTTACAGGCAAGGTAACTGTAGCAGTTTCCCCACACCTGAAAAGACCTTCTATTCTGTATTCACAGCCATGCCTGGCTTTTCTTGTTGAAGCATTTGGATGAGAGAAGAAAGGTGTATCTTCAAATTAAGGTCAGTGTCTGGCCCAAACAACTTTCCTGCTATATGTGTAATATTTAACAGAAAGCTGGTATATATATTATTTAATCCAAGCAGTCAATTTGAGAGTTTAAAGTAGTTTATTGAAATAGAAAAGAGCTTAAGTTTTATTGCCTCTGAATATCTGTTGTATGATGTGTAATTTCCAAGTCAAACTCATAAACAGAATTATACTTCATGTTTTGTTATTTCTCTCCCTCTTACTGAGGATTTGGTCAATTAACACTTCCCAGTATTACACCTTTAAAGACTCAGGGAAGTGTGAAATTGCCTTATAGTAGTGACAAGGATGAATAAATCTTCCAAAGTCATTACCACAGCTCTAAATCTGGAGTCAAATTTGAATATAACATATATACAAGCTGAAAGAGAAAATATTTGAGTTATTCGCTCAAAAGTATTTCAAATCCATTTATATAAAATTATATAAGTTAGAACAGCAGTCTGAAATTTGAATTGTCTCATAGTTCTAAGAAACAGTATAAATTTTTGCCCACCAGCATTTTTTTTCAGACATACCTTTTCTACTTCACTGTGGTTGGGAAGGGGTAAGAGAGGAGGCAGGTGGACCTGGGATAACTGGAATAATTAGTGTGTTTCTTATGCCCTCCTTACTAAAACTGTTGCTGCATAGCATTACTAAAATGCCTGCTGTAGGTATATATTGATGTATTCCAATATGAAGTCTGCTTCAGGAAGCAGCAAATTCCACACAATGTTGTTTGATATGTAATTTTCCACTAGGGACGAAAATAATGCTCTTATTTAACCACAGTACAGATACTTCCAAGACACAGGTCTGCTTTTTCTAATCTGAAAAAATGAACATATGAAAAGAACCTCTACTTTTGGGTTCACAGAATAACAGAATAATAGAATCAATCATAGAATCAAACCAAAGCAGTTCAAAGCCACAGGACAGTCTCAGTCACTGAAATGGAGGCAGTGACACCTTTCAAATAGTAAATATTCACAGAAAGAGTGAAAACAATAAGGAATCTTCTTCGCTAGCCTACCAATAGCAATATTGTTGAAGGAGATAGATGACCTGTGGACTAACTCCTCATCTCAGTAAGACATACACATTTTATTCAATACCTCTAAAAATGAAACAGACTTTTCATCCTTTTTTTCTGAAGGCATATTCCTTCATTTTCCTCAGATCTTCACCAACAAAAGTACACTGTTTTCTGATATTTTGACATTAAACTGTAGGGTTTGAATAGATAAAATACAAAATTAATGCAATTTATTTCTTTTTCTATCTAATTTTTAATTAATCTTCAAGCACACAGATGGAGTGATGGATATTAATATAGAATTAATATGAAAATCAGACAAAATTTTAGATGTCACTTCATTGAAACTACAGCCACTCACACAACCTTGGCAGGAAAAACACAGGAAAAATATAAACTAGATAATAGCCAATAGAAAATTTTATGTGAGATTCTTGGTGTAATCTCCTTAATCACCTGGCCAAGGAAACATTTAAAACTAAAGGCAGTAAATAGGAAACTAATTAAATAAGTAACCCAATACATTAAACTAATTTACCAGTTCTGATGGGAAACTAAGCTATCCATATTTGCAAGATAATTTTTAAGATCCTGGATGTGGGTGATTTTCCTCGATAAGTGAGATACCATCAGAAAACCTATTTAAATATGGTAAAACACACATCCAAAACACCTATATATTTTTAAGACTTTGAGCATATGTTCAGCTGAGTGCTGTGTATTTGCAATGCAGATACTAAACGTGGATTTTATCTCACCTGGCCTGAGAGAGCCAAGGTGAGGAAGACTACAACAGCAATAGTCACCTTTGGCTCTGATTTTGTGAAGAGAACAGCAAGAATGTTCTCCAGATATCAGTTTGTGGGATCTTTGCTAAAGGTCTTTATTTACTCACTTGAGTCCCACCGGAAAATACAGAGTATATTTTCAGAAAGCTTTTTGAATGAATTGAAACTAAACCAAATCCTTGTTTACCTTTTGTGCTGCACAGTAATTTTCTATAGAAACTCTGAAGTTTTGCTAATTTATTTCATGTCTGTTGTTATTTCTTTTTTATTGTGAAGATTGGCCAATTTAGAGTAAATTGTCTTGCTAAAGTAATCAGGGAAAATTGATGTCAGAGATCAATTCATCCAATTGTATTAAATGAGAGACAAGATTTTCTTTACGCATTTAATTATACCAAATAACATCTGCAAAACATACCTACCCTTCAAAATGGAGAGATGTATGGAGTAGGGGATTCACTCCAGGACTAGCATCAAACCATGAGGAATTTCAATCAGAGAAAAGTTACAGTGCTGCTGTAAAATAGGATTGTGTGCAGATCTTCTGTGATTTCTTCCCTAGTAGATATGGGAAACAGCTCTTTTTCTATCCAAATGGATTTCTAAAAGTGATTTTTAAAGCAAAAACAATTGAAAACACAACATGTTGTTTTGTGTGGAAAAAAAAATAGAGCGTGAATAAGAGATATTGTAAAAAAATAAAACTTCTAAAAATTCACAAATATCCCTTTCTCAAGCTTTCCATAAGGCAAGGGGCCTCATTTTCCTCCTCCTCAACCCAAATAACATATATTTCCTGCAAAAATATTTTTTATTCAAATTTTATGCTTTGAGCCTTAAGCAGTTCCTCTAATCCTAATTCCCTAGAGTCAAAAATATGTTTTTAATGGTGACTTTATTATGTTATTGGAGGAGGCATAATGACATAAGAAAATTAATTTATTAGATAGGGTTTAGGAAGGAATTTTATTATTACATTGTATTACAATTCTGATTTCTGAGTAGTCACTAGAAGCATTAAATATTAGCAGTATATGATGCACTTTAGCTATAAGCACATCAAAAAAGAATTTTTATTAAAAGCAATCATTTTCCAGTTCCCTACAGCTGATGTTTTACAACAGTTGACCAATATTAGAATATATATATGTATATATTCTAGTATATAACATGTGTGTATGTGCATATATATATATTCCCTCTAAAGTAGCAGTTCCAGGCAGTACCTAGTGGCCACTAGTGCCACATGTAGCCACTTAGCCACTTGACCTGGTATACTTTGCTGTTAATTATAGAATATGCTGAGTTGGAAGGGACCCATCAAGATCATCAAGTCCAAACCAACAGAAATGTGAAGGATTCGCAATGTCTGTATAAATATTGCTGTGGTTAATTATAAGAAAATGTAAGTTAAAAAAAATTATAAACCCACAGCCAACATTGCAATTCTTTTAAAATGTTTTTAGTGAGATGCCAAAGACACAGCATTGTATATCTCATTAAAAGGAGACTTTATGTTCCCCTAAGAACCCAAGCCTGTTCAATGAGTTTTATTTTATATGGAAATGCAATGTGCATTGTTTATTGAACAGTTTATTGCAATTATAGAACAGTTTATTGCCTTTTCCTAATATAAGTCCATCAATGACCTAATGAACCTATGCTCGTTTTTCAAAAAAAGCAATGGATGTCATGAAGCTCCCTTCTAGAAAACCAAAACCCCAACTTCCATCTTCTAGTGTCAGTGACCTCTCATCTACGATGCTTACAGCTGCAGACACAATCCCAAACCTAATTTGAAATGGGTTCAAATGAAAAGAAGTTATACCAAGCTAAAACCAAATATGAATCAGATTGTAAAAAGCTTCTGAGAGTACCACTTTGATGGAAGGTTTTACTTTCTATAGCAGTATTGCAGCAGAACATCCTCCATGCTACACTTTTTAATATGCTAGATTTCACAGATGTGAGTGATTTGATAAACTGCCCAAACAGTAAAGCAGAGATGCTGCTACTACTATGGGGAGAAAAGTCTTGTGGCCAAAGCTCACCTGAAGCTGAAGTTGGCCAGAACTGTGGAGGACAATAAAATGAGGTTTTCAAATTTGCTTTTAACAGCAAAAGGCAACGTAGAAAGGATATGAGGATGATAACCTCAAAAACAGGGGCATGGACAAGGCAAGAGGGCCAAGCATGTCCTGAGGGTGTCTGGCACAGCATCACCAGCCAGGCAAGGGAGGGGATTGTCCCACTCTGCTCTGCTCTGCAGCAGCCTCACCCTGAATATTGTGGACACTGGCAGAAAAGACATTCAGCTGTTAGAGAGCATCCAAAGAAGGGTAACGAGGATGGAGAAGGGCCTTGAGGAGAAGCTGTGTGAGGAGGGGCTGAGGGCACTGGTCTGTTCAGCCTGAAGGAGACTGAGGGAAATCTGAGGAGGTGCAGTTATAACTTCCTCATGAGAGGAAGAGGCAGGCACTGATCTCTTCTCTCTGTGAATAGTGACAGGACGTGAGGAATGGCCTGAAGTTGTGTTGTGGAATGTTTAATTTGAATATTAGAACAATTTCTTCACCCAGAGGAGATTGGGCTCTGAAACAAGCTCCCCAGGGAAGTAGTCAGATCACCTGATTTCAGAGTCAGATTTCAGGGAGCATTCAGACAATGCTCTTGGACACATAGTGAGACTCATGGATGGCACTGTGCAGAGCCAGGAACTGGATTCTGATGGTTCACCTCCAACTCATATTCTGTGATTCTTTGATTTCATGTGACTGAGTTCAGCAGTCCAACTCAGAAACAAAGTGCTTGTTATTCCAGTCATTTCACTAAATGCCTACAAATTTGAGTTATTCCACAAAGCATGTTCCTGAACAGGGACAGAAGATTTTAATGATTTAGTAAAATGACTGGTTTCACAACATAAGAGCAATGCCAACAATGCCAACAAAATGTGAGACCGCATTTAACTAAAAGTATGTAAGTAACAATTTCAAACAGGTAAGAATACCATCCTCTGTATATGAATATTTATTTGGGTTTAGGTATATATACTTGGGTCTATATAGAAATAAACTCCACCTTAAAGCTCTTAAGAAAAATTAAGGAGGCATTTATACAGAACATATTCATGAACACACTATAAAAGATTTAAACTTTTAGCCCATAACTGAATAGTTGGCTTTTAGGGGAGGAAAATCATCACTTTTGTCACCTCCACTCCATATTGAAATGTGTGCTTTCTATGTGAATGAAACAAGGTGGGAACAAGAGACATACTGTATCTAGCGTGAGGGGATAACACCCTCATCTTCCATGTTACTGCAGTTTTTGTGTACCACCTTTCTAAACATCAAATCATAAGAAGTAAATTCCAACTCTATAAAATAACTCTTAGATATCTTTGCTAGAAATATGCTATTGCTCTTTTAAAAATTACCATAGGACGTTACAAACTCAGATTCCAACAAACAGAACTTATATAGAAAACAGAACATCCAGAACACATGAAATCACAATGTTGAAATTGCACATTAAATATTAAGTTTTCCAACTGGGAGAAAGGGAGAATTTTTATTATAAAAAAATTCTAATTATTTGAACAAGTGGTATTAATCCTTCTGAAAGAATGACACATTAAGATCCCATGCCAGAAAAGCACTTAAGTATGGTCCTCTCTTTAAGATCAGAAGTAGACCACTGAAGTATTTATCTGTCTGCATACAAATGATCAAATTAAAATAATGGTCTCAGTGCAAATTCAGAAATGTTTCATTTAATACTGCCTATATGATAATGAACTGGATCATTTCAGCACATAAATGTAAAAAAGAGCAGACTGTAATGGCACATGGCAGCCACTGCTCTATTGTTGCAGAGCTAACAACTTGAATGCAATATCTCTTGTAGTCAAAATGAAATGGATTTTCCAGCTGTTTTATAAAGTCATTTCCTCACTATGCTGTCAGAACAACGTGCAGGGAAAATAAGACCATAAGCCTCAAATCCCTCATTCAGCCTTGATCAAATCCTGTCAGTAGAGCTGTCAGGGCTCATGTAGAAGTAGTTCACGGTCCATGTTTGGAGGTGCACTCTAAATTTAATTTTATCACTATAAAGTTTGTGTAGGCACATAGAAATTTTAAATGTTCATAAACTCATAAAGATGCGTTGTACACAGTTACAATTTTTTTTATTTGGAATTACATTAAAACTTACTTATTTCCTTATTGTTCGTATCTTGCCTAGTCTGCAGAGAAAGAGGTGGGATTTCTGAACTGGTGCTATTCTGAGGCCATGCAATTGCCATTGGATTGTGACACATGCTTGAAAGAAAAAAGTTATGAGAAAAGTGATTTTTCTAAGCAAAGAAATTGTGACAGATACTTGCTGTGAGGATTTTCAGTGAAGCATTTCATGATGTCTTGCAGAAAATTATTGAAAAATCTGCAAATGTTGGAAGTTCCTAAAGGAAATATATTCTGAATAGGAGGCTGACAAAAATGAGGAATCCAACACAAGTGAGAGACAAAATGTCCTGCTCAAAAAAAATATAAGTTTTTCAGAAGCACTAGAAGAACCGTTCTTGCTTAGGGATTTATTCATAAACCTTCTTTACTGTTTTATTAAGGAATATGCCCAGAACACTTTTGGTGACATGAAGCTGAAAGTTAATATCAATACAAAGAAACATCAGGATATGATACCGAGAAAAAAAAACTTTATTTTGGCTTACAAAGAAACGACTGTTTAAAGATGAGCAAAACACTTAGCTTGGAAGCTACAGGTTTTTCTGCCTCTAGAGCAGTGAGGTTCTGCAGCACAGAGCTGCTACCTGGAGGGAAAATGTGCAGCCATGTGAGAGAGCGTCTAAGTGTCCCACACATGATCACATATCTCTTTCCACCCATGTGCAATAATTTTGTATGGCCAAAACCAGCAAATTCAAACAGTTTTATATGCAAGTTTGGTGAGGTCTGTGACTGTGTGGCAAGGTGCCTTTGATGAACATGATTTGGCTTTGCAACAGATCTAACTCAGCATTGCTTTTTTTATACTTCCTTACACTTTTGATTCTTTTTCAGATCATAAATTTCGCATTCTTGTGCTGTGTTTATTTACATATACATAAACACTTTTTAAACAGTATAATATACTTAAGTTTATGTTGTTAGCCAGCTTTATAATACTCTAGGTATTTCATTATCCTGATTACACCATCAGGTAAGATTAAATAAATCTTTTTCTCCATTTCCAAATTGTATTATAGGATCAAACACAATTATATCAGAGAAAGAAAGGCATTAAAACTATTTAGCTCAGGTTGGGTTTATTTCACAAAGCTCACTTCAGAAATTTATTTTGTGTTTTGTTGAATAAGTTTAATCAGCACAGTACAACTGGTAAGAAATTAATTGATTTTTAAGTCCTGTAAGCAGTTCACATCTCAGGCATAGCCATTATTCTTAATTATAAAAGGTTACAGTTGAATTCTTTCAATACATGTGACTATAACACAAAGTAAGCTTAAAAAAGTAGGTCAACTCTTCATCACAAATACAAAGAATTGTTATTCATATTTCAGCATGGAAACCAGAATAATTTGTGGTGCAAAAGTAATATTAATGTAAACACAACTTTTCTAACCAATGTGATTGTCATATCTCCAAATATTTTCCATACAACCACAGTATGCATTCTTAATAGTTTTTTATAATTATTATTTATAAAGTCTTTCATCAGTAGATAAAGCTAGAGTACCTATGCCTGCACTGTTTTCCTCACAGATTCATCTTGAAGAAACTCTGGTTTAAGAGGTCTAAATTATTAAATACATCCTTGCGTTAAATCTAGCTTGCATTTAGCTGAGCTGATTTTCTCCAAAACATTATAGGTGGAATTACATAGTCCATCATAGACTTAGTAACTAGTTTCATAGGTTTTATGCTTGCTTTCTTTCATGATGCTTTTGAGGACTCTGTGGTTGATCTTGGTGGCAAGAACATTAATCTAAATCTGTGTTTAAAAGAGTAAAGGTTCCAAAAAGCTGCCTGAAAAATATAAATCAAATTAGAAGAGTGGTTTTTCATACAAGATTTCCTAAAAAAATGATTCTATTTTTTTCATATTAAAAAATATTTCTTCAGTTTGAGTTTAGAGACCACTGGGGTGAGATCAAGTACAATTGGGCTGGGTCAAACCCTAGAAAAACCCAGTAAAAGTGAAATAAACTTCTCTCTAAAGGCTCTGGTGATCATCACTGGAAAAAATCCCTTGTGTCAGGACAGTATATATTCGTTTGAGGCAGGATCCTGTGTGTGAGGCAGCTCTGAAGGACAGTGGCACAGAACAGCTGATCAAGAACAACCTCCTCAAAGCACACAGATGAGCAGCTACGATGTGCAGAAGTCTAAGGAAGAGTGGTCAAAGGCAAGCATGGATGAAATAGGCACTTAAGAACAAACTCAAAAAAATGAAGTATTCAGGAATATGGACAAGGACACAAATCAGGAATGTAGAGATGATGCTTTAACTTAAGGAGAAGATTTAGGAAAGACATCTCAGCTGGAGCAGAAATTAGCAAGGGATGTGAAGGGCAAACACGAGAGCTTCTTTAGATATGTCACCAACAGAATTAAATTACAGAAAGTATGAATGGGGCCAGAGACCAAATGGCAAAAGACATAAAAAGGCTGATTTTCCATCGATGCATGATGTCATTATTTTCTACAAAGAAATTACTGGCTTTGTGACCAAGAATACCACAGTTGCATTTACAAGAAATTTATCAGGCTCAACCATAGGAAATGTCAAGTTCTGCACCTCAGAGGGCTTACTCAAGAAATGGTACAGACGGGTGGGTGACTGGCCAAAAAGTGGCTTTGCAGACAAAGGCTTGTGCATCCCAGTGGATAACAAGCTGAGTGTGAGTCAGCAGGGGGCAAAGGAAGCAAACCACATCCTGAGCTGTGCTGTCTGAAGTACAGCTGTCGGGTTGAGGGAGGTGACATTCCTGTCTTCTCAGCCTTGGTGAAACACATCTGGAGTGCTTAGTCCAGTTCTGGCCAGGTCAGTTTAAGTGAACATGAACACATTGGAATGAGCCAGAGGCAGTGCACTGGAAGGGCAGTGGGGTGCATGGCACACCAGGAAATGGGGGAGAACTGGGTTTGTTCACTCGGGAAGAACAGAGTAAGGAAGAGACTGGAGAGAGGGTGTCACTGTTGAGGCAGGGATGGGAATGAAAATTACTCCAAGTTCAGAAGGCAAAGATTGAAACTTTATTGACAAGTAGCGTTCCTCTTTTATCACCAGGATTGCTAAGGTGAAATATGATTGGTCTCAAAGTGAAAACCTTTCACACCATTGGTGCCCTGTGAATAGCACAGGGGGGTAGAACATATCTATAAACAACATGAACATAAAGAGATATTTGCATTGTATACATTCCTCTTGGACTCCTTCCTTTTCTCTCTGACTGAACTGAGAATATCCATAAGAGGATACAAAGGATGGAAAGCCAGGTGCTTTGGAAGTCTGCAGCCAATGGACAAGAGGCAACTGACAAATTGCCCCACAAATGGAAATTCTGTAAGAGAAAAAAGAAAAAAGGTCTTATTAGCAAGGGTTGCAGAACACTGAAATACTGGAACAGGTACACACAGAGGGGATTTAAATTACATCCTTGGACATACTCAAAAATCAGGCCTTGTTTAGCATGGCGAGTTGAATGAGGCTTCCCTCTCCATCTAAGTTACTGATTCTATCAACTATTTTTTATGATTGGACTGACAATATATTAGTCTTTAAATTTCACAATAAAAAATACATATTAATTTAATATGAAGCAAAATATATTCTGACATAGCATATGATGGAAAAATATAGATGGAATTATTTATAGCTACAGTTTCATAGAGGAAAACAAGGATGAATTCCAAGGGATTTGATCTCAACACTGGATCCAAAAATAATTTTTATCTATTTGTTTTAAAAGGATAACTATGCACTTCATGTTCTAATTTCTAAAAGTTTTAAATTAACATCTAGTTATTTTTCATAAAGCAGATAGTAGGGTGAATAATTGATAAGTATTTTCATTTACAGATTTAACAAATAATATTCTGAATCTCTTCTTATAGTCATAAAGCCCCAGAGAAAAGTTCCCAGTGTAGCACATCTACATTTCCTTTTTTCTCAACAACAACAATTTGACACTTAGAATATCATCCCATGCAACAGAAACTGTCAAACTATTTCTTCTTCTCTTGCTATTTATGAGTGGATTTCGGAGAGCTGACTGCAAAATTTCTCCATAAAAAGATTTTCAGAATTTTTATGCAAACTTACTGACTACAAAATGATACGTAAGATTTTAAGGACATTTAAGAAAGTAGGTATGCTAATAATAATAATATTCAAAAAATATACTGCAGTTTAATTAAATTAACTGCTTCACATTTATGTGCTGAGGAGTCTCCATGTGGATCTTGAGCTTAAATATAATACTCAGAAATTAAAGGAACAACCAGTCAATGTGCTTGTTGTGTTGAAGCAGAACAACTAATCTTAAAAATACTGAGTAACAATTTTGTTTAATGAGTTAATCACAAAGGATCAGCAAGCCCTGTCAACAACACATTTCAACAAATAAATCTGAGTAATGAAAATGTATATGCTGAGATTGCACTCCATTCATACACAGTTCATTAACAAACAAATTACACAGAGTAAACAGATTAAGTTTTGCTGACATATTTCCCAGGCTTCAGTTATCATTGACAGAAAATTTACATTTGCAAATAGGTTTCTCAAAGAAATATGAGAAATATTGTTAGATACCAAGGGACACTTCATGTCTGATCAATAATAAAGCCTGTCTCTACAGACACCAAGGAACTTGTAGTTTTGAGGACGTATTTATCTTTGTCTTTAAAACAGAATTGCATCTCAGTTCATCAGAAAAACATTGTGATTCTGTACTTAAGGCCCATCACATGTAAAATGAAAAGATTTCTCAAACATATCTAAAAATCATTTATACATTTACTCTTCAAGCTGCTGTCAGTAAATGATGAAAGAATAATGAGAAAATAGACCAAGTAATTTTGCAAACAGAAATAGAGATCCTAGAAGTTTTGCTTTCATTGACATAATTAAGAATAACCCTGAAAAACTGATTGGTGTAGAACTACATAGCCAGCTGTGTCCTTAGGATACCTGATAACATATTACCCATCATGAGTTTTAAGATGGATGTGTTTGTGAAACAATGTTAGACACACTATGCTGACCTTTCAGAACTGACCTCTCCCAAAGGAAATATCCTTTAATCATTTCCCAGGGTGAATTTCCCTTAAGTTCTGCAGTTAAGATGGTACTGTTCACATCATGGAAACTTGCTTACAAGTTTGGAACTGTGCATTTTGCATCCTTCCAGAAGAGTCATTCCACAGAGGCCCATTTCATAAAGGTCACTAAGCTTCTCCAGTCTTTACAGCTTTGTTTCTTCTTACCCAACACTTCTCCCACAGTCC